AATTTTAACAGAAAAAAACAAATGGCGATGTTGTGGCTGTGTTTATGCATAAAATGGCAAAACGGAAAACAGGAAAGTACTACATTGCTTCAAACACCTACTATTTGACAGACACAAAGCTAGTTACTTGGCATCTTTTCACCCACATGATTTTCACAGTAACTCTTCTGTTATTCTTCACAACGGAACAGAACACCACCGGTCACGAGCCACCTTCCTAACTGTTCCATTGTTGCTGTTACTGTGTGCATTCATCTTGACGAGGGCCCTGCTTTCTCTGCTCCTCTACTTTACCAAGCATGCTGTCCTCCTCCAGCGACTGGTGTCTCCTGACAACATGTCCAAAGTAGGAGTCGAAGTCTCACCATACTTGCTTCTAAGGAACATTCTGGCTGTAATTTTGCCAAGACAGATTTGTTTGTTCTTTTGTCAGTCATGGTACTTTCAATATTCTCCACTAGCATCATAATTCAAATGCATTGATTCTTCTTCAGGCATCCTTATTCAATGTCCAACTTTCACATGCAAGGTGGTGATTGAATACACCGTGGCTTGGATCTGGCGCACTTTAGTCTTCAAAGTAGCAGTCTTGCTGTTCAGCACTTTAAGAGGCCTTGTGCAGCAGATCAACACAATGCAATGTGTTATTTAATCTCTGACTGCTGCTTCCAGGATTGCTGGCAGATCCAAGCAACATGAACTTGAGAACTTCAATCATTTCTCTGTCTATTATGCTACATTCTGCTCCAGTTGTGGGGATTTTTGTTTTCATTGCATTGAATTGTAATTCTTATTGAAAGCTGCAATTCTTGTTTTCTATTTTATAAATATTAAGATCAAGGTTTACAATACTGCCTGTGTAGAATTCAAAAATGGGTTATATAACTCTTTCCAATATACTGCACACCATTATACAACTAGTACCTATAATAATCACACAAAACAAATTAGAATTTGGTCTCAAAACTTAAAATTATTTTGAGTTTTCTAACTTCACATTGCTCATATTCCATTTCCTCCCCTCATGGAGTCCCTGAAAATCGTTATGAGTAGTAAGTATCTCTACTGACTTTGAATTTTGGTGGTTAGGGTTGTCCTTAATTGTGCACTGTGCATTGTACTGTGTCCCATGGGCATAAAAGCTTTAAAAGATCACAAGCACCCTAAGGATATAGCTCTCATTTTGTAAATAAAAAAAAAGATTTAAAAGGCTCAGGAACACAGAGGCGACAGCTCAGAGAAAGACATCCATGGTCTGCACAACTCTTGAAGTGAGAGCATTGCTGATACCAGAGCAGTATTTGAACATCCAAATGCACTTTTTTCTCTCTACTTCCAGCATTCCTCTGAGGAATAGAGTATAGTCATTCATATCCTATTTGAAAAGTAGGAAAAACAAGGATCGGAGAAGTTACTAAGGGTGTTTTTCTATCATGAAGTGTTGTCAACCTTTGGTAATGGAACTTTCTAAAACCCTAAATATACTTAAGTCTTGCTCCACCCCCTTGTTAGTAGGTACACACACTGTCCAGGCTCACCAACATCTGATTTACATACAGTGTGCAGTTACTAACCAATCCCTATCATTTCTTGAGCACAAACACAGACACTGTGCATGGGAAGTAGCTTAGTGGTACCCAACCTTGCAGGCAACTCATTCTACAACAGGCTATACTTTGAACCCCACTTTGAACCCATCCCAGGAGACAGAGGTGGCACATGGAGCAGATAGGTTGGGCAGGTGCCTCCACCGCAGCCTGGGAAAAGGTGAGGGCCCCTGTCAAGGTTGACAGGGCCCTGGGCAAGGAGATCAGAGGCTGCAGAGAAGATTCTGATACAGGCCTCAGGGGTGCCCGCCTCAGCCCACACTAACATCAGTTGTACCATAGGCAGGAACAGTACAGCAGGAAGGAGAGTCCTGGCACTGGAGGAACAAGACCTTACTTACATAAACATTAAACTTAAAGACAGACTTTAAAAGAGTGATCATTCATAATCTGGGGAATGTGTGTCACCGACTTCATGAGATCCCTTCATTTTAGTGTTCAGATATTGGAAATTTGTCCTACCACTTATTAGCAATTTCAATTAGCAATTTAGTCTATGGAGTTCTTTCAGAAGAAATACTCTACCATTAATAAACTCATGAACTGTAGCAAATGATTTTTAATGACTTAACTAGTTGAGAGGTAGTGTGGGGTTTATATTCCAATGCAAACTTTACCATTTACTACCTGTATTGATCACTGGCCAATCATAAGAGCTTAACCCTTACTTTCCTAGTCAGTAAAAATGAGATTGCATATGCCATCCCTTGGAGGTGTAGTGGTTACGAGTTGGGCTATGATCCCAAAGGTTAGCAGTTTGAAAGATGGGCCTTTCTATTCCCATAGACAGTTCCAGAAACTCAGAGGGGCAGCTTTACCTTGTCCTATGAGGTCGGTATGAGTTGGCATCGGCTCAATGGCAGTGAGCGAGTGAGTTCATAGTTACTGTGAAGATGAAGTTAGATAATGTATGCCAATCACCCAACTACAAGATATTCTTTAATAAACATTTAGTTTGATTTCTGTTTTAAGAACTTTGAGAGACATTGAGGAGGAGATGAGGTTTAAAACAGGAAGGGTAGGGGAGGGGGGGAAAATGGAAAATTAGAGGCTAGCGAATTTTGGGAATGATGAGGGCAACAAATGTATAGATGTGCTTTACACAATTGATCTATGTATTGTGATGAATTGTATGAGCCCCAATAAAAAATAAAAAAAAACTAAAAAATCCACTCCCTCCTGCAAACATTTATATTTCATTCCAATTGGAGTAGAACACACTCTCTCCTTATCCCATGAATTAGCCCAACTTAAATGCAATGTACTAAGATTATAGACATTAGTAAAGGCGAGGGAGGCCACATTTCTTTGAATATTGGCTTAAGTATTCACATAAAATTTTACTTACCACAGATACAGGCTCTTAATCTAGAGAATTAACCAGTTTCTAGAATGAGTGGTTTGGTTACATTTGAAGGCTAGAGGGAGAATTATTCAATCCTTCCATCAGAAATGCTCTGCTTTGTGAATGACAAATGATAAGAAATGGGATATTTAAAACTCATCTTGGGAACCAGGAAATTTGCATTTCATAGAAGGGATTTCAGCAGCATTGGAATATAAGGTGCTGTAAACAATTGCTGGCAATCGCTTCCTTGGTTCACTGCCTAATACTATACTTATCACTGCTTGCAGGAGAGGTTCAGGAACAGGTCCATGTCACCTACACTCTGTGTGTCTCAGTGGATCAGCCAAGAAACAAACAAAAAGGCAGGCCATCATATCACAACTGTTCAGTTTTCTTTTGAAAACAGATTTCATTGAAAGATCATTTCTTCCTTCTTCAGGAGTATGGAACATCCAAGATGTTTCTCTCATCTGTTTTTAATCTTTGGCTAAATGTCTAGCTAGACTGGTTGTTTCCACTAGTCAGGTCTTTCTCTCACTACTCTTATCTGTTATATCCAGATAGACTTAGACTTTCCATTGCTCTTAAGAGCTCAGCACATTCCCCCATCCCATTGCTACTCAACCAACACTGATGGAACACCCTGTTGCCAGAGGATGGGGCGCTGGGTGGGGCCTGAGATCACGGACTAGTGTGAAGAGACCAATGTGAAGGCCGCTGCTAATTTGTTATGTGCTATAAAAATGACACGCTCAGATGCTACTGAGGTGAGAGCTTGTGGTGCAAGGGGGACCAAGATGGTGAAACGATGATGAATGAGCCTGAGCTAGCGGAGCCTATACAGAGCGTGGCCACGTTAAAACGCAGACATCGGTAGGTATTTTCCTGAAAGCGCTTACCTGTCTGTTCCTCCATTCATAACTAGGAGGAGTACCTTGAGTACAGATAGGCACTCTGATTTCTCTGTTCTGAACTTTCCTGGAGATGTTCCCCAGAAAGTAACAAAATGTACTTTCTAGTGTTGTCTTATGAACACACTTTCCCTCAACAGCCATTGATTTCATGATTAAAAGGTTCAGGCTTTCTGAGCCTTGAGAGAATAATGTAGGTGTGGCAGTGAGCAGAGAGCTCTATCAATTTCTGTTGGGTTATTTCCATCCTATTTTACAAACCCACTAAGCGGCTTTCTAAGATTTACGCTATTTAGGTCAGCTAGGCAGAATATGAACCAATTTCAATTGTTATCCTCTATGAATTACATGAGCCCACCTAATCAGGCCTACGTTTTTTGCTTATAGTACTCCAGACATCAATTATACTGTGGCTGTCACAAACTCACGTCAGACACTGTGTTTCTGCCTATCTATGGGTTAGCAGTCAGTACCTTACAGACTGTTTTCAGTAATGTTTATGGAATGGGTAAAGTCACAAGCTCTGATTGTGAGAGGGAGTTCTATAATTAAACTCAAAGTGTCCTCAATCAAAACTCATAGCACAGTGACTCTCAAAAGGGGTTAGGCATTCTTAGCTTGTATATACATGAATCGCTACTTAGAAAATATGGGGCTGGGTTAGGGTTATCTTTCTTAAACTCTCCAACTCTCCACCAAAGCCTTACTAATCAGCAAAAAGGGTGAACGGCCATCTGTATGCTCATGCTGTCTCTCATGGTCACACAAAGTTTAGGACAAAAGTAGCATGGAATTCCACTTACTTTTATCCTACTGCAAAATCCCTCTCTCTCCTCTTCAGTTATCCAAATTCCTTCCCATCTTTCAAAGCTGCTCTGGGTTTAGTCTTTTCAATCATTAGCTTTCTACCATTTTCTTATGTTGCTCTTTGCAGTTCCCTTATCGCACTTACATTCTTTCAACACATTTGCAACCTTGAACAGCGCCTTCAGCTAAAGGGCATGTCGTTTCCAGAACAATCACGCACCCTCTAGGTCTCATGCCTTTGCACATTGTTTGCGTCATCTTGGTAGCATCCTCTATCACTGCAATGGAATATCCATTGCAATGGCTACACAGAAACCACAGACAAAATTCATGATTAAAAGGTTTATTAAGGAAGTCGACAGATTGTGATGCCAGTGAGAAATGCTCAGGACACAGCTGTTTACCAGGACACGTCACAGAGTTCTTTCAGGTCTGCTAGTAAATCCCTAAAGGGTCTCCAGCGGAAGGCATTCACAGTTCAAGTTCATGTGTTAGCAAACCCAGATCACTGAATTCAGTGCCCAGAGGCACCCTGTTCCATAAACCAGTTTCCTGCACAAAAGCAATCGCTTTCCTTGCTCTTGGGAAGCCCACCACACCCCCTGGCTCCTGGTTCTGCTGCTGCTCCTCTGATGTTACATGTGTCTTCTGGATCCAGGCGTTCTCCGTGAAGGGATCGAGGCTCCACTCCTGGTTTTTGCTGGTAATGAGAATTGCTCTCCTGTTTCTCACTCCAGAGAATCTCATCAGTGTGTTTCCTACCTTTTCACCAGACCCATGTAGGGAAAGATCATTGGGTATGAGCTAGAGACTGGCTAGAAGAGCCGTATTAAATAATTCACTGCCCCTGCATATTTCATCAAGCTACAAGGGCCTTCTCCCCACTGTTGCATTCTTTTATCAGCCAAGTTATCAAACCAATTTATGTGTTTGAATAGCCCATTGCTTTTTCTCTCTGACTAGACTGTACATAGTTGGGGACACTTTAAACAATAATGTATACTTCCTCCACAGGTAGCAGAGTGCTCAATAAGGCTGATAGGTGGATGGATGAAAGCTTGGGATACCAAAGTAAGTGAAAAATAAATGTTTTTAAAATGGAAACAGCAGTTTGGCATTTTTTCAAAGTTTAAACACAGTCTCCATATGACTCAGCAACTTCCTCCTAAGGCTATACCCGAGAGAAATCAAAACATAGGGCCACACAAAAACTCCTGTGGCATTATTCATAATACGCAAATGACACTCAGCTGATGAACTAATAAACCAAATGTGGTCAATTCACATTCCTTAGAAATAAAACGGAAGAATGAATATTTGCTATGACATGGATTAACTCTGAAGACATTATGATAAGCTAAAGAGACACAAAAGATCACATTTTGTATTATCTTTTATATGAAATGTCCAGAAAACGCAAACCCTGGCAGAAGGTAGGCCAGTGATTGCTGCCAGCTCAGAAGCCAGGAAGGAGTGGCACTAACTACTAATGGCACAGGAAAGGTTTCTTTCTAGTAGTGACAAAAGTGTTGTAGAAGTAAGACAGTATTTAAGCTGCACATCTTCATCAATGTATTAAAAACTATTCATTTGTATACCTTTAATAGTGAATTTTATAGTATAGGAATTATATTTCAGTAAAGCTGTTGTCAAAAAATGGTTCTAAACGAATCTCTCAATCTTGTAGATGAGGAAACAGGAGTCCAAGAAGGATAGATGACTTCAATCCAGATTACATAGCTGGTAGAGGAACCAGGGAGAACTCAGATTAAAGATTCGTCTCTGGTTTCTTCGTTGAATTTAAAATTTTACTTTCCAAATCCATCTCCAACTCCTCACCCCCAATCTTTTTTTTTTTTAACTCTTTTTTTATTGGAAAGCGTATGAAGGGCTTCAAAAAGTTCGTGGAAAAATCCCATTAAATTTACCGTCCATCTTTGAAGCCCCCATACACAGTAAAAGGAAGGCAATGAAGTCTATCTTTCATAGGAGGTACAATGATTATTACTGGATTTGAGAGATGAGTAGTGGACAATCTAAGAGAATAAACAACTGCACTTTTCTACTTCCACCAATAAGAACAGACAACTATTAGTACTTAAGAATTTTACTCCAAGATACTGTAATATCAGAGGGAGCACAATGAGGGCCATTTCTTCCCTTCCGGAGTGAAACATAATCGAACTAGAGAGATGCCCCATATCTTTGTAGTTAAGCGCCCTCAGTACTTCAGAAAGAGATCACACTTAAACCAGAGGAACTGTCTATCAGAAGACCAGTTTCTCCACTGAGGCCCAGTTTCTATAGTCTTTGCATTAGCCAATAGCAATATTGGAGCAATTCTTGTGGTACTTACTCTTCGGGAGGTTTTCTGTAATAGTAAAGCATTTTGTTTGAAGTTTTTTCCCCCTTCCCCTTAACCGTTACTTTTTTTTGTGCAAAACACTGTCATAGAACCTAGAACTGGAGGACATTAGAGCACTCATGTGGCCTGGCATTTCGCAAATGGTCCAAGTGTGGGTTAATTCTGATTAAGTGAGTGTTAACTCTGGTTAAACATATATTTAGTGAATACCTATGAGATTCCAAACTCTATAACTGATTTTCTAGAGCATGCTAATGCATACTTTGACTATAATCCACTCTTTTCTACCTCCAGGTCCCTCTAACTCCTTGGTAAATAGGAAGAAATTGATTTCGTCATATCTCAAAGATTTCATAACATGTATGGCTGAAGAAAGCCAATTAATCAATAGATTTCAATTGCGTGCCTCTTACAAAGAGTTCTGCTTTTGCCTCAAACAAGGCTCTTACTGTCTTGGGCCTCTAGTGCCTAATAAAACCTCGAAAGAGCTAAGGTGATTCATTCATTTAGTTAACTATATTTTTAAGTGAGACTGTTTTCAGATTTGGGTTTTGCCAGAACATAAAGCTCAAGAACAAAACCATGTACAAATTTCTCTTTAGCAATGAGCTATTCAGGTGTGGGATTGTAAACGGGCAGACATTTCTAGGTAGTTCGTCCAGGAAAAAGGGACCGAAGGATTATAGAAAGTTAAAATTGTTTTTTAAAAAGCTTTTTTTACCAGTTAAGAAATATAAACAGACTTTTCAGAAGGAGAAAAGTAGAAAATACCAGTTTAAACTCTTCGGAAGTTCATTTCCATATAGCACACATATTTTCACTCATTAAGAAGAGGTAGTGAATGAATAGGTATTAAATTTTACCTGGACAAAGTAATCAGCCAAACACAAGAAAAGACAATTACACAGTGGTTAAGGCAGAAGAAGGTTTTTAGAGAAGCCAATGACTAGATTTGTATAAGAAGTGCAACAAGAGCTAGATAGATAAGCGTGACAGGCAAACCTTGTCAAAATCCCAGCTGAAGTTCTCGTTGCGCTCTGGAGTTTTGACTTTTGGAAGGCGGACCTTTTCGTAATAAAAGACACAGCCTATGACAATTTACCATTTACCATAATTACTCAATTAAGACCACCTGTTAATGAAAAAGGAAAACAGATAACGGTCACATCAAATGTTTTCATTGAGGAGTTGACACGACATTCAGAGTTTATCGTGGGTGGCCTCAGAAGTTTTCGGGAGTATGAGAAACAGAACTACAGGCCTTTTTGTATAAATTCCTGTATATCTTGTCCATACTGTTCTCAAAGATGGGTCGGTGGGGTTTTCCTTTGTAAGAGGCTGTTCTGTTGGACCAGTATTCACCATCATCCAAGTGGACAGTACCATGTGGCCGCGGGAAGGAGCTGTCGAAAAAAGATATAAAAGATGAAAAACCATGGAGAAGCTAGGGATGGTACTACTGTATAAGCCAAGTACTTACTGGCTACTTCATGGGTGTGTGAAACTCTGCCTGAGCTATGTGAAATTGAACACACAAAGGCCTGTCCCTTCAAGAAGTGATGCATTAAAGGGGAAATGGTTTCCAAAACTGAGATAAGAATTTGGCATGGAAGACAGACTCATGAAAGAATACAGAGAACAAAGATAGGTATGGCATGGTGAGACAACAGAATGCAAATGGTCTAGTATAGCCAGATGAGGCAGGCAGAACTGGAACTGAATTCCAGCTCACACCTTTATTAGCTGTGTGATCTCAGACAATTTAATCAATTGCCAAAACCCCAGCTTCCTTAACTATTTTTTGTGGTATTGCTTCAAAAACTAGAATGTATGCTAGTACCTGGTAGAGAGCTTACTTTGAACCCCAAACCAAAGTCCAAACTCCCTGCCATCAAGTCGATGCCGACAGAGACCTGTCAGACGGAAGAACTGCCCCTTTAGCTTTCCAACACTAACTCGTGACAAGAGTTGAACGCTTCGTATTTCTCCTGAGAAGCCACGGGGTTTCAAACAGCTGACCTGTGGTTAGCAGCCCACCTTGTAACTACTATGCCACCGGGGCTCTAGACCTCAAACACAGAAGCTAAAAAATAGGAAGATCTCAATTAGTTTCACAAAATGTATCTCCATTTGAGCTTGATCGATGCAGAAACTGAGGTTCAGTGAATCTAAATAATTTGCCTAGACTACTTGACTAGCAAACGGCAGAATGGGGAAGGAAGGTAAGTCTGTAGCTTTAAAACCCGTCCTAATGTGATGTGCAGTGCTCCGAGTAGAAAATCAGGCTATATATAAGTCAACAGTAAGATAGAACACAATGGAGAAAGGTTTGGATTTGAAGTGATCATGGGAACAGAGAGGAAGCTTATGAAACTAACACTAGGCAAGCTGCGGTAGAACAGCAAAGAACAGGCCAATTTTTCTAACCTCTTGAAGGATAGATACCAAAGTTACACTATTATTTTCATATGCAATACATTCTGGGATAACATATTTAAGGTATTGACTTCTTCAAAGACTGAGTTGTTTCGTTCTACTCATTTTTAACATAATTGACATATTTCAATAAATGATATATTTGTTATTGATTAAATCTCTCAGGTCTGTTAGAGATCATAAAGTTTGTGTCAGATAAAAAAGAATGCTCTGGCTATTAAATAC